AGTAAAGCACGAGGGAGGGGCTAATAATCGGCTCAGTCATTTTTAATGATCGTTGAAAGCCCAGATCGTAATCGAGATTAAAATTTGATTAATTGAGCAGCCCTAATGTGATGTTTCTGAAGCCGCAGTTCAAACAGCTGAGCTTTTTGCTGCTGGATGAACAGCTGTGAACTTTTACAACAGCTGGATGTTTGTGTTTCAGTGTTAGTGACAGAGAGACGGAGGGCTGAATTAGTGTCTTGTCACCAGTGGGAATGAGTCTCTCTGTTAATATATATGTGTGTGTGTGTGTGTGTGTGTGTGTGCGTGCGCGCAAGTGCGAGTGTGTGTGTTTGTGAGGTTTGGCCCGCTCGTATCATCCGTCTGTATCACATCAGCATCACACTAAGATGTAATGCTGCTATATTTAATATCTGAAGTGTTTTGCTGCAGAATCCTTTCATATTTGAACAAAACATACAGATACTTTGTTAACCTCCTGCAATAGAATGTCAATAAAATAGTTAAAGAAATAAAATTCCTGCATGAATTACTGTTGGAGGCCTGATTGTGCTCCTGGTCGTCACTGTTAGGTTTTCTTCCACACAGCTGACTCCTGCTGAACGCTGCTGTGCTCTCATGTCATGTCTCGTTCTCTCTGAATGCTGGATTTCATCTTTTAAAATGTGCCTCAGGCTTTTGTCACACTCTGCCCAGCTCGAGTCTTTTCTTATTTAAAGCACATTATTTAATGTACCATGAGGAAACTGAAGATGTACAGCACGGACATATGAAAGTCTCTGTGTAAATAAAGTTTTTACAACATTTTCTGATGGCTGATTATTTAAAATTATGGATTCATGTATTTAATGTTATCGATTTTTCAGAGTAAAATAAAGTTTTTTGTCACTTCCTGTATGAATATGGACAAAATTACAATATAAACCAAGGAAAAATGTGCTGCCAGCTGCAGGCTGATGTGTTCTGACAGTGAAGGTTCAAAACTTTCTAAAGTTGTTTCTTGTGTTTGCTGTGAGGACATGAAGCTGCTGCTGCAGAAACATGTGAGGAGTCCTCAGTGTTTAGATCAGAGGGAGTCTGGTGGTGGAGCAGGGCTGAAGAACCATGCTGAACATCTGGATGGATGTGATGTGGAGCAGGGCTGAAGAACCATGCTGAACATCTGGATGGATGTGACGTGGAGCAGGACTGCTGATGACCTCAGTGGAAGAACCCACAGACTCTGGTCCTGATGAAAGGTGGAGGAGGGCTGCATCCATCTGGCACTGAGAGGGGAAACACTTAAACATGAGAGCAGGACAATGATGAAGGAGAGCATCATCATCTGATGTGATGAGTTCAAGGAGAATAAATGGAACAAGCATGAGATGGTCTTCCTGGTTGGACTTTTAGCTTCATGTGAGAGATTTTAACTTAAAGAGATAAACCTCTGTTACTCTGTTTATTTTG